TGCCACAGATATGTTATTGCCTGGGAGATGAGCAACCTCCTTTTATACAAGGTCTTCAGCTGACCTCCTTTGAAGTCTTGCAGCTCTCATCCTTTAAGCCAGTATGCGCATCTCTCTGCTGTAGTCCAGGTCTTGATAGCCTGCAGTCAGAAGGAAAATCCCTTTACTTATTTCCCATATGTCAGCAGGCAGCTCTCATAGTGTACCTACCTTAGCCTTGGAGTGGAGTATTTGAAATAGCCAGTGCTACGCTATTTTCAGACAGTTTTTAACTATACTTTTAGTCAGCACAGTATCCCATGCAGAACCTTTCAACAACATTTTGTATCAGGGAGGCAGCTTGGGCATCTCCTGAGTTTGACTAGTTTAGTAACAAACTTTTCTCCTTGCCCTTCTCTTTGTCTTCTCTGGTTGTGTTTTCTGTATTCTTGTCTCATTCACCTTCTCCCTCATCTCTCCCCTGACCTTTCCTTCTTGTGGATGTTACTTCTTGTGCTGAAAATGTCTGTTTCCTGTGTGTAATATGTTAGTTACTTCTTCCTCCTTTAAAACTGATGATGATTCTGGTGACCTGCTTGGGCAATATGGCTGAATACTGCTCATACCCTGGATCCAATATGCCAATGGTCTAAACTCATCATCTCTCTGGAAATTACCTTGGATTCCTCAAACCTTCCCTTCTGTATCCCTTATGTTGTTTTGGTCAATAGAGGAAGAATGGATTGATGGACCACGACGATTTCAGAGCTTGCTTAATTTCAATGGGTTATGATCTGGTATGAATTTTCAGAAACAATGGCAACTGATTCTGCTTACAGCTTATAACATTAACCACAACGACGCTAAAGCTTATTTAAATTGACAGAATACTAATAATATAATTTACACTAGAGATACTATTTTCTTGTTTCTTTGCTTTTTCTCTATTTTCAGATGATTAAAAAGGAAGTTAAAAGTAAAGCTAGACACTTGAAAACCATACTCTATGGTCTGCTGCATTGCTCTTTGAATTAAGAAAACTTTAGAAGTTGAAATTAACAGCTATTAAATGATATTTTTTTTTTGTGCTCCTTTTTTACCTGCATGAGGAGGAATGAGTTGGATGCTGTTTAATTCTCATAAACTAGCTTTGGGGGTTGCATTTGCTTTCCTTCACTTATTTATTCTAAAAATTTCCCCCAAAATTCACCCATTTTAGTGGAAAAAAGGATTAGCCAATTAGACAGTTGAACTGTCCTATATTTGGCATGAAATTTTCAGAATTGTTTCCCTTACTTCTTAGTTCAGTGAATCTGCACGTACACTGCTTCTGGGGCTATTGTTTCACCTCCCTGTGCGGTACCTAAATTACAATGTTTTAGGATGGGGTGGAAAATGAAGTGTTAAGTTGAAAGAAGTTAAACAGGCATTGAGGGAGGGTGGGAGGGGGCAGAAGTTGCAGAAAGTTAATTGAAAGGTACGTACTACGTATTTAGGACAAAGAATACATTTTTCAAAAGCACCAAGTCCTTTTTACAAAAGAGGGGTGAGCATTTAAGATCCCAGGTGTCATTGACTCTGACATTTATGTTCCTAAGTCAGGAAGATGCTTTAAAGCCTTTGTAACCACTGGTTCCTACTGGTTCATGACAGACATGGGCTATTGGCAATTGATAGTATGGTGACCATTTTTTTGTTGTTGTTTTGGATTCTGTGAAAGGGTGAAGCTGAGTTTGCCCGAATCATGTCTCTGGTTGACCCCAATGGTCAAGGAACCGTCACTTTCCAGTCCTTCATTGACTTCATGACCAGAGAAACGGCAGACACGGACACGGCTGAGCAAGTGATAGCTTCCTTCAGAATCCTGGCTTCAGATAAGGTCAGTCATCATGCTGCTGGCTGTAACGATTCAGTAGCTCTCCTATTGAGCCCTTCTTTGCTGAAAGTCTTACAGAAGCCTTTTAGTAGTAGTGAAGCTTTGTTTTCAGTTTGTAAGACTTCAAGGAAAGCACTTGCCTTTTCTTCTTGTTTGGAACCAAGACTCTTAGCTGAAATGGGTGCAGAATTCAAGGCTTAGTCTGTATACCCTCATATCACAAAGAGCCAACATAAAATTAGACATCTTAGACAAGACTTAGACAGTTTGTCTGTATAATGGATATATTATAGATCAGATTATTTCCACACAACAGCCTTGATCGGAGGGGAACTCACTCTGCCTTTCATGGTGTTGTCTGGATGTTTCAGTGCAGAGTTTGGCCCTCTGGAACATAGCCCAGGTCAGCTGCACGAGCTGATACCTAATTGTGAGCCACGTTGTGACTTGACAGCTCATTCAACAAGGCGATGCGATGTGGTGAACCCCTATCCTAGGAGGAGGAGACCTCTAGTTACTGTGTATGTGGAGGAAGCTCCTGAATTTGGCATACTTTCCTCCCCACAGCCAGATCCTCTGGCGAGTGAGTGGTGTATGAAGATGAAAGGGAGGCTAATGGCAACCCAAGAGCTTCTGGAGGAGTCAGGGCCATAAACAGTGCTGCCAGGAAGCCAGTGCTGTGCTATGGAGAAAGATGAGATCACAGCAGTACAGGTCTATTTGCCCAAGCTCGCTCTATGGATTTTCTCATTCTGGCTGTTTGCATTGATTTTGTGATCTCAGTTACTGTGGATCACATCTTGAATTCCAGACATGTTCTCAGCAGGAATTCATGTGGAAGATGAAAGCCAAGATCTCAGGAAAAAATGGTTTTCATTACGTTGCTATTTTAAAGAACGTCAAGTCTGTTAACAGAGGGTATCCTTCATATCATAAATGCAAACCATTAAGAGCAATAATGCATCTTTCATTACAAATATACTAGGACCTTGAAACTAACAAGATCTAACTGAAAATGTGTCTGCCCTGTCACTGTGGAAGGGGCAGTAGTGCACTTTAGAGATACCGATTATCTATCCAGGGGTGAGCTGTATCAGTAGTAGCCTACCCATGGCTGCACAGTGCTCGGTAGCTAACATACACAGTTGCATATCCTGAGACGGGATTTTGACCTAATCAGTTTGTTGGTAGGATTGTCCCCTTCAACTCATCACTAGGGATGGAATTTATTGAGGAAAATATTTGGTGTCAGGAAAATAGGCAGGATGTCCAAGTTTATTAGTCACAGCTACAGAAGATAAACATATTTTGTGTCTTTGAAGAGAATGTACTGAATTTGCCAATCCTTTCCCCCCTCCCAGCCTTACATCCTGGCAGATGAGTTACGTCGAGAGCTGCCTCCTGAGCAGGCTCAGTACTGCATCAAGAGAATGCCTCCGTACACCGGCCCAGGTTCTGTTCCTGGGGCTCTGGATTACACCTCTTTTTCATCGGCACTGTATGGAGAGAGTGACCTCTGATTCTGTAATTGGCCGTATTCATGGTAGACACTAAAAATACCCACCTTATCGCCCAGATTGCTTCTCAAAAGCTTTGACAAGCTGATTTAAAAACGAGTTTTACAAATACAGTAGGTACCGTCAGTGTAAAGTGCTAGTAACTAAAGTAACTAGTGTATATTAAAGTGTGCGGCACACTAGATTTCTGCATTGTTGGTTTTAGGTTGTCTGTCTTATACAATGCTAGAAAACATATAAAAAACCCGCAAACTGTTAAGTTTGGAAATATCTATTCAGAAAATAGAATGTAAAAGCTAAGAACATTGAAACTCACAAAATATTTCTCCATTTTCAAAATGTTTCAATGCCATATGTGCTTCTTTTATGATGTTCATAAAACTATGTTAGGAGTCATGCTTTCTTCTTTTGTAGAGCAATATTATTTTCCTCTAATGATTTCTGATTTTGTATGCTTCTACTGGTGGAATTTAATAAAATGTTAAAATGCAGTTTTTCAGGGAAGAAATATATCAACGAAGTAAACTACTTAATTACGAAAAAAATCCAGAATGCTATGTTTTTGTCTCTTAAAGACGTTTTTTTCCTATCACAAAGAGTTGTAATATAGGGAGGAAAATGATTAAATTGCAGGTTTCGAGTTCTATAAGCAGTACTTTTCTTTTAAGCCTTTAACTTTTACAGCAGAGGGAGTACAACTTTTATAATCAGTAATAAGGAAGCTAGTTTCATGTGAGCTGCTTTGTTTGAAACCCTCATTCTTGTCTGTGTTGGACAGTTTTTGTTTCTCAGTATAAGCAAGCCAGTCCCTTGTTATATTGGTGGGCAACATTCGTCTCTATCCTGCATAATGCAAAATCCCATCTAAGCAAATGTAGTGTGGTTGTCTTGCAGCTTTAACTGTTCAGTGCTCAAATTAGAGTTTGTCTTGACTTCTGCTGGATCGCAGGCAGTTCTGTCTGTATTATGCTCCTGTGCGCTAGTTGTTGTACTGTTTTATTTTTTCCATCTTGAGAAATGATAGAGAAGTAAAAGCAGTAACTTTTTTACTTGAATCCTACCGACACTGAGGAAATGCAATGTAATCAAACAAAACCATTTACAAATGGTGATGTGAGCTGTGCAGCCCAGTGCTATTAAAGCAATGATGTGCCTATTAAATAAAGTCTGCTTTTCAAAACCTTACGAGACTCTGTCTTTGGCAATCATCTAGTGGTTCTCTCCAAGAACTGGAAATATTTCTGAACATTAAAGGAGGTTTCAGTCTGCTCAAAGGAAAAGTTCAAAAAGTATGTCATGCATTTCTATACGCTGCGCTTGCATGAGCAACAGTTGCTACGTGCTGGAGGGACAGGTATGGCCTCATGAAGTGAGATGGAGCTCGGAATGAATGGGACAGAGTTTTCACTCAGTCACCTGAGCACAGATGTCCATAGTGTGTTAGACTCCTAGCTTAGATCGATTTCAGTGAGACTTAGGCACTTTGAAGATGTTAGCCTTAACTTTTTTGTCTCTCTCTTTGTCCTCATCTGCAGATGTTAGGTATGTAATGATGCTTTCACTGGCCTTTGCTTTGAAATCTGTGAGTGATTCAAATTCAGTCCTAAAGCAGGCACGCTGCAGGTAAGGAGCGTGTGGTGGGAGCAATTTCAAAACAATCCCAGAGGAGACAGGCAATGACCAAATACCACTTCTCCTCCGCCTTGTATACAAGGGCTGGCAGAGGACTTAGAGAAATACTAGGGCTAGAATCACATCTCCTACAGTGCACATACAGCCTTGCATGCAGTCAGAAGCTGCTGCTGCCACTGCTGATGCTGACGTGGTGCAGTGCCATCTCTTTTTGTGATGACAGCGCCCATACAAACCAAGTTGGAAAGCTCTGCCTTAAAGCATCGGCATTTACAGCTAAAAGACTGCTGGGCAGGCTGAATCCTCTTAAAAAATAAATCTGTGTATCTCTCATTGTCACAGTTGAATGCAACAGGAAGAATAAAACATTGAGCTTCCAAACATGGCACAAAAGCCAAATCTCAGTGCTACAGGCAGGATTATGCTAAAAATTGGCACAGAGACAGTTTATATCTGACACTTCTATTGGGTGTCATTCATGTTCTCCATCCGCTAATTTCTGTATTGTGATATTCTTCCTATTTTTAATAGTGTGGAAGAGACTTCTAAAATCCTCCGTTAGCCAAATGTTCTGCTGATCAAAGCATGTGAGAGATAACATTATCAGCGGCAAGAGAAAAAGACTTTTGCAAAGTAATTTTTTCATTCCCATATCAGGTTTCTAATTTCTAAAGTAGCGTGAAGAGAACCAGTGGCAGAGAACTGCAAGATTAATTACCCATCCATACTTGCCTAAACATGTTATACTGTATTTATTACTTTAATATGTCTTTCATGTAAAAAAAAGATGCATCATAAAGTTATTTCTCTCAGCATCAATTATTTTTAGGGTAACTAGATTAAATAAGGAAGCTATGTTATTTTACCCTGAAGCGGGTAAAATTCCAAGTTTTTTTTTAAATATTCTGTGGTCAGGTTCCAGGGCAAGGGGTTTAACTGAGAGATTTCCTTTTCCTCTAAGGCTCCACTTTTTAGTAGGTGACATTGGTGTTTTTCTGTAGAATCACTCTGTTCGCACTGGGAATCAATGGCTTCAGCAGCATTTTTTGTCTATGCAATTCTAGCAGCAAACTAGTTTCACTATTAAAAAAAAAAAAAAGCACAGTGACCGAGCCCATGGTAATGAATGTACCAATCTCAGGGGCCAAGACAAGGTTTAGCAGGTGAAGGTACAGCATTATTTTGATGATTGTGTGAATGAAGGTTATAGAATAAATTAAAATTCAAAAAAGTCAGTAAGGTTTCAATGACTGTAATACAGATGTCTTCTGTGACTTTACATGGATACAATTCTTTGAAAAACTTCCTGCCAAGATAATCTTGATGTTGTAGTAATCATTTTCAGTCATGATCTTCAGAAAAGTGCTGATGCAGGCAGAAAACGGTGTTGTCAGCTCTGTGCTACCTTCATACTTCCTGTCTTCAGATACAGAGTTTTGAGCAGTTCTTTTGTTACCTACTGGCCACAAAAGGCTTGGATCAGAGCCGCTCCCCGTGGCTTCCGTGTTCATCAGAACATCCTGTTGGTCAGTTTGCTCACTCCTTGGGGGAGACCATGCTCTTTTATTCAGGTAGTTCCTGGTAGCAGCTGGATTTGGGTGGTTAGCCGTTTCCTTTTTTGATTTAAATGGCTTGTGGTTGAGAGTAATTCTGTAAGGAAGTAATTGTTTGATCATTGCCAGTATATGAAGAGGCCCTTAGGAGCATGCCTCCGGCATTGGTAATAGCATCAGCATTTTTTGGTGTGCTTCTACCAATGGTTCCAGTAATATTTAGACGAGCAAACAATACTTAGGTAAGAGGTGACACTTCTTTGAAGAACATTCATCACTTAATTTTGCCAAATCCAAGTCCTTGGTCCTCATCTTCAGTGGGACTGTGCCTCTTGGTGTCATATGGGGTTCTAGACTTTTAAGAGATGAACAAGCCTGAGGTTGTTCTTCAAAAGAAATAAGGACCAAAGTCAGTGAAAATCTGATATAAACAAAGCAAGCAGGGAATAATCTGTATGAAAAGTACCTATGAAGAAGGATCAGCTCAGTCAAAGAAGAAAGCACACACATCATTTCCGTATCTTGAGCACAAAGTAAAAATTATTAGATCTGGCTCTCCACTTGTGTTACACCAGAAAATGACATTAAGGTGGCTCTAAGTTTAACACAGTGAAAGTTTAGCACAATATGCCCGTGGATTTGGATTCCTGACTAACTTATTTCTTACCAGGGAAAACTGCTCAGCAGTCTTTGAATTATTGTATTATGTCAGGATTTATGTCTGAAAAATCTTCCCTACTTCTGGAGACAGAGCACTAGAGGAGGTGGTGCTGTTGTGGCGGGAACATTTCAGTGCATTACACAAAAACCACCCCAAAGGCTCTTTTCAGAATCAGAAAAACATCCCAACATCCCCAAATATGCAATACCTACTAGAATTATACAGTATGAGCACTGCTAGTGTTGCTTCAGCCTCACTGGTTGCTAAGGGCTTTCTCTCTTGGTAAGTATTAAGAAGGTTTCAGAATAACTGAAATACCTGTTCATTTCCCCTGTCCCTCTTTCCCAAGTTTTGTGGTTAACAACCTGTGTGCTTACTTGCTCGTGCATCAGTCTACCTTCTGGCTGTGTTCAGAAGGCGTTTTATCTAAGGAGCTGCTTCACCAGGGTAAAGCCTGCACTACAGATAGCTGTTCCTGTGTTCTGGTGAGATTCTACTTCTTTCAGACCAAATATTTTTTTACAGGAAAACTGACTGTTCTAAACTGGATTTTATATTATCAGTCTGTTTTTTATATCTGTGATTCCTTTCTAACTTTAAGCCAAGGTGTGGGCTGCCACCACAAAGGACAAGTCTGTCTCCACTTTTTCCATGATCCCATTTATTTATAAACAGAATAGTTCCCTGGTCTGGTTACCATGCTGGCTGGGAATACACATCCAGGGTGCTAAAACAGTAGATTATTCCTTCCAACAGCAGCCTGTATTTACATGACCTTAAAGTGATTGTATAACTGTGGAATTAGGGACCCAACCATGCACTTTCACAAGAAGTCCTTTATTATTGACAAAAAAAGAATGTTTATGTGTAGACAACAAACCCTGAGCCAGTACTATGAGTACCAGTAATTTCCCTTGTAAAGTAAGAGTGCTGCATTAAATGACAAGCCCAGTCTTTTCCGCATGTGAGTTTGACTAGGATTTCATATTCTAAGCTTCAAAAGAAATTCCTCTGCCAATTTGCTAGGGTTTTGGAAATTTCATTAGCGTTTGTCATGCTGCTTTGCACAAATTTGATTATCAGCATATTGCTTTAATTACTTGGAAATCAAATATATTGGATGAATGTCCTGAGGGAATAAATCTCCTGAGGCTATTTTAACACCCATCTATCCCTCATCTACTTGCTCGCTGTTGTGTTTCAAAACCTGGCTGGTTGATTTGGCCCCAATTCATGGAAACTTTCTTCCCTTCAAGATACCCGTTAAAGCTTTAAGTGAAAAATGCCCTCGAGCGCTGTGCTCAGGATGAGCGGTCATCACCTGTGCTCTCCTGAGCTGGAGCCTTCCCACTGCGTAATGGCTACTTGTGTGAGCAGCTCGGGTACAGACGA